TTGAGATCTAGTTTGCAGGATGAGGTCTGAATAATTCCTCCTTGTTCAGCCCCAGGGCCCCACATTTTAGCTATAGGAGTCACAGTAACCTGTGTTGTTAGAAACAAAAGCAATGACATAATGATAAAAAAGAGAAGAAAACAACCTGACAATGTTAGATGTATGGTGTAACTCTGTGCATTGTGGGCTATCATGCGCAGTCGGCCTGAAATTTCCTGTCCGGCCATGACATAAATTGGCTGAGAGAGAACACAACGTATTTGGTACCAGTGGGTCGTAGGTGCACCCGGGGCAGTGGTAAGCCATCTTTGAACAGTACTGTTCAACAAGAAATTTGAGAGGGAATTAAAATATAGGTATATGGAAGGAAAAGCTGACAAAATAATACATGAACACAATTATTACCTCCCACTAAACAATACATCAAACCAGCAAGCCACGCCATGCACTCTAGTGCCAACAGCTGCTACGAATTTCAATGGAATATCAATTTCATATAACTCCTCTTCCTGCAAAAAAGAATTTAGAAAAAGTAACATCAAGTCAGCATTTTTACCAACCTACATTTTAGGCTAGAATGGAACACTATTGAGAACAAAAACAAAGACTCCCTGATATAGTAAGTGGGACAACTAAATAAAAACAGATTGAGTAGATAAACAGCAAGAAGCTTTGTGCATGTGGAATTTGAAGTATTGCAATATTCAAAAAAATCTCAACACACTTTTTCAAGTAGACTTGGAGAATTTAGAAAATTAAACTAAGAATGAATACAATGTACTAATGCATGTGAAGAAGGTATTACTAATGGAACTATGGCGAAGCACAAATTTCAAATTCAAGATAAACATTAGTTACCGGAGGATGATCCATGTAACATAAAAGATGATAGTGCTAGGAAGAAGCTCAGGATGAAGGATTCACTAATACCTTTATTTCAGTAAAGTCAAGCACATGGCAGATTGGGGGAGACACCAATAATCTTGGATCAAAGGCATCCACCACAGGCTTTATGAAGGCAAAAGTACCCCATCAATACATGGAAATAAAAGAAAACCATAATGGAAACAACCATAAGAATCTGATAAAAGAGAAGCAAGCAAACAAATAAGGATGGAATCATAGAAGCGTCAGTTCAAAAAATTCACACAGTGGAACATGCATATGGCTAGCCCAACAAAAAGAAGATCTCAGTGGCAGAAGCTATAAATTCAAGATTAGCAAAAATATGGTAGTAAAAAGGGGAATAAGTTAGGGTCAAGTTAAAAGAGTCAATACAACCACACAAACAAAAATTTAAATAAAAAAAGAAAAAGAAAAAAAGAAAACAAATAAACTTCTTTATACTCTGTCGCTTTCTGAAGGGCAAGTGTGACGGTTGTATTCTAAAGTCTGACTTGTATACCAAAAACAACATCATAAAGTGGAAGCTGAAAGAGATACATGCATTAAGATCCTCTAGATTGACCTTCAGGCCTTGACCCAATTTTAAAAAGGTTGAGAAGTAGCTTCTCCAAGAAGAAAGGTAAATTTTTAATAACTGAACCCCCATTAAGGTGGGATAAAAATACATGGTAAGCAATATCACAGAATAATTTTATTTGAAAAAGAAAAAAAAAACCTACCTCGTAAAACAAACCTTAAGTATTTTAAACAAATTCTCAAGCATCATGGCGTACAGACAAACCTGAGAGAAGTAGCCCTGAAATGCTGACCCATAGAGTGGTGTGAGATCAACCCCATAATAATTTTGTTGCTGCCAAAATAAAGCCTGCATTTGGTTTTGCAGGGTTTTGAAGTGGAAAGTCATGGATTACATAGTATGATATATCTTCAAATATGCTCAAATGCATAAATGTATACATTCACAACTGACACTACTCCAGAAAAATTGAGTCCAATACATACCTTATTTGCAACTTCAACAAATAAATATTCATCAGTGAAAGGTGCCATATGAATCCTAAAATAGCAAGAACATAAAAAAGCTTAAGCTAAAGGTTCTTAAAATTGTTGCAAAATAACAATGTAAGTTGCTGAAATTAATAAAATACATGTAGTCATTTACAACAAGTGATTTCGGGTTCTTGTAAAAGAGCCATCAAAAGGGAAGGGAAAGAAGGAGAGTTCACAATGAAATAGATAAGCAATTAAACATAAAGGCCAATAGGATCCACAATATTCAGGCATAACACCACCAGTAACAACTTAGCATAAGAATGCAATAAACACAACAGGTATAGGAAACTCATGTTCATATAAGTAAGAGTAAGAATGGCTAAAACATATAGATGAAGATGTCATGACAACATTACGAGTCATTTTTTAACTCTGAAGATAAAAATAAAAAAAAAAAAAATCCAAAAATGAGGAAAGAGGAAAGCATACCTTCCAAGTGTAGGAAACATTTTTCCATTTGGAACAAGAAACCGATCTCTTGCAATAACATAGGACTCCAACATTCTTTCATTAACTAATAAGGTGCCTACAAGTGACAACCCAAACAAATTACCGAGACATCAAAACTAGACCTGCTTCAGTATAAACCTCTAAATATCAATGTGAATCTGCATTAAAATTCTAAAACACTTAACACAAGCAATAAAATATTGTTCTTTTACTTCCTGATTGACAAAGTCTTTCTGCTAGTATAATGACCATTTGAACTTTGAAGCAGAAACATACGCATCACAAAAAGTTTAATCACTAAATAAAAAAATAAAACCTACCCATTGGTTCAGATATGAGAATATCAGCTTTCTCAGGCAATTCAACTTCCTCAATTTTTCCCTTGATTACCTATATTTTGGGCAACATAGTACCTAAAATAATCAGATAATAGACCGGCAAGATCAGGAAAAGGTTACCAACATAAAACACAAAAACATACAGTGATCCGTTCAGCCAGGGCTGGGTTCCCAGAAATAAGTTTGCGGGCATATTCTGCCATTTCAGATGCTTCCACAGCATAAACATGCTTTGCACCAGCCTAAAATTGGATGAAGAAAAACAGTAAAGTGTAAGTCTAAGACCCTCAGCAAAATGCATGCAAACATTAAGACCAAACAACAGTAGATGTATAATAATAAAACAGAGATAAAAAGCTAAAGGTACCTGTGCAGCAAATAATGACAAAATGCCACTACCTGCACCAACATCAACCACCACACGACCAGTAAAATCTCCACGGTTCTCAATCACAGCAGCATAGTATGTCCCTGAAATAATAAAGAACACAGGATCAATACATTATTTCATGTAACATAGTTGTAAACATTACTTTTCTGGCACTTTGGTTGCATGTAGATGTACATAAAGGTGTAATATATCTACATAAAGGTGTAATATATCTCAGGCTCTTCAGCAGAAGGTTAATAAAAGGTCAAAGGAGAGCAACAAAACATAGATTCTTCATATAACCTGTCCTCACATAATCCTGTAACATATTCTGCTGATGCAACAATTGCCCATAATAATGGAAGTACATTTTAGCAGAAGATGGCTCTATTTTATCATCAAACTTGCTCCTGGAAGCAGAAATTTCTCCATTTGGTAAACATGTTCCTGTAGGGAAGAAAGAAAATAAATTAGGAGTGTAGAATATCAGCTTGGAAGTGCATATAGACAAATCAATGGAAAAATGCATAGAATCTTCAAAAATATAGCTAGAAATTTGATAGAGAAATAGGTCTACAGTCTTTATCTTTGACAAAGAAATGAATTCCGGGTAGCCTACAGGTTCAAATCTTGACAACATTCATACACATAAGTATTGAAATTGGCTGCCCATTTTACAACATTGCATTAATTTGCAAGATTAAAAAAATTTGACAAAGGGAATCATTTAGATCTTAGAGCAATTCATTTTATTACAGTAGGTATGAAGAACTATTTTCTGCCATCAGTTACAAGTAACAGACATGGTTTTCACAAAGCAGTGAAAATGATACATTGAACGCTACACCATTTCACGTAACATTGAACACTAGACATGTTCCCCTCCCTGATTAAAATGAGCAAAGAAAGTATAAGGGAGATGAATGATACAAAATGGCTAGGAGGGGTGTTTTTAGTAAATAATACAATCAAAATTAGCAATTCATTACATGCACACAATACATGAGACACCTTTTTAATTTTGACTATCACAGAATACAGATGCAGTATTGCTTCCATTCACAAACTTCCATTACTGCTTGATAAATAGTAAAATAGAACAATTAACAAAAAAGGGATTGCAGAATATGAAAAGGATGTAACTGACTTCATATTATGTAAAACTTCTCTATGTAAATTAAAGCAGGGTTCTTAAACAGCACCTTGAACAACTTCATTCTTCCATTGCTCAAATGCACAATGGAAGTCCCTGCTCTCCTCCGCATTTTTAAATTGGATTGTGACTCCTCTTGAATATGAATTCTGGTTCAAAAAAAAAATACAGTTAAAAACCATCACTCCAATTTTCATATGTATTGGGGTAAACAACTAGAGAGGCATTTAAACTTAAAGACATTTTCTTACCTCCTTATTGGTATTAGAACCTTCAGAAATACAAACTGATTGCAAAGGTCCTAACTTGAATAGCTGCGAGACATCAAAAACACACCCAATCATTTAAGACCATAAATTTTCCTATTCTCATAAACTCAACCGGAACAAGTCAACTTAAATCTCTATAATTATCTTCTCTCTGGAAAAAATCCAAGTCTAAAATTATTGCTTTCAAAGAATTTAGTCTCGCCCATAAAAACAACAGGAACACAATACGCTATGGTTTAACTCTCCTTTCTTCAAAATGCACCAAAGACAACAAGCACATTCGTGTACCCTCTCAGAGAAAATGCAGAATAAAACACAGAGCTTCAACAACTAACCCAACAAAGAACATTTTTTTTGTTCTCATTGCTATCCATCTCAACAAAAACAAAAAGGGACTAGTTCTCAAATGCTGTATCTTTCACTTTCCATTGCTTCCACCAATGTTGTCAATAACCCATGAACAAAAGATAGAACCAAAACACTGACCTGAGCAGTTCGGAGATCAACGTTGAACCCTTCAACAGAATCCGACTCTCTACAAAATCGAAGCTCCGCAACTCCACTGTCGGCAATGAACCTAGCAATCACTGGCACAGACGAAGAAACAGAGGCAGCAGTAAGGTCACACACTGATGCCAAAGCGAACTCGAGCTGCTTCTGCTTTTGCCCCACTGAAGCCTCCGTCATCTTATTCTGATGCAAACCCAGAAAAAAAGAGGTACAGATATGGGATATGGGTGTGTAAGTAGACTAAGTAGGAGATGAAAAATTAGGGTTTTGGGAAAGAACGGCGGAGACAACGTCGGTGGGAAGAGAACACTAAGCCGCCAAGGAGAGTGAGAAAAGGGAAGAGAGATTTTAGTGTTGTATTTATAGGTTCAGATTTTTTTTTAGTCTTCTTCGAAGCTTTGAATGCATAAGAGCGAAGATATCATTTCTTTTCTTTTTGGTTAAAACGTTAAATTTTGATACCTCAACTTTGGTAATAACTCCGAATTTAGTCCTAAACTAAATAAATCTCTGGTTTAGTTCTTTAAAATTGTGACTCATTTTAGTCCCGTAATGGGGTTTATTACTTTATCTAGTTTAGAAACCAAAATTAGGGGTTAGTAAAAAAGTGTAGGATCAAAATTAGGGTTTAACTTAATGGTAATCTTGTGATTAAATAAATTTTGTTGACAATATGAATAATGAAATTTTGTACACATCATAAATTTTTGTCATATGAAGTTTTCATGTCACATTTTTTTTTTTTATGAGAAAGGCAAATAATTACATTGATAAGAAGATGAAAGTAGCAGAATAGTGGTACATTGTCTCAAAATCTCACTCAAACCCACTTAGAACCATTGTTACAATGTTCTCTAAAAAACAAAATTAGTAACTGGAGTTAATGTTAAAAATCTCAAACTATTATTAAGTACTTAAATAGAGACTTTATTTTTTTGATTAGGTCTATGTACTCGAATTAATAATCTGAGAAAACATCTAAATTCTAGACTATTTGAAGCGATAAAAAGTAAAAATGAAACTATTTCCAATTAGGGCCAGACCTAAAAGGTCACCAACCCCACCCTCAACCAATAGCATCTCATCATTGTCAAACAACAACTCTTGAATTTTTGCCCAATATTTCGCAACATTATCAATCAATAATGGAAGTTTTCATGTCACATTAAAGTTAAAAGAAAAAACAAGTTTTGACTTGAATTATCGCACCATGTAAAAGA